CTTTTATAGGGATTGTCAGTAATGAGTGATTATGTTACAATATGCTATTTGGCTCCATTGACGGAAAATTATCTCAGAATCAACCACAAATAACTCACTTGGAAAATAGTGAAAAGATGGTATTTTGAACATCAGTATTAGACACAGGTGTTATACTAATAATGCATATCAACACAAATACAAAAGGAATTTAAAAACAACATACTCAGAATGGAATCATCGGGAAGCCCCTGGAATCATCAGGAAGCCTTCACCAAGGAGATAGAGTTTGAGCTAACGGGGGATATGGATAAATAAAAAGCAGAAAAATTCAAACCTGTAATGTGTACACAGATAGCAATTTATTTTCTTTGTGTAACTCTTGAGCTCATATATTACTCATGCTTTTGTTTTATTTTATCTTTTTATATAATTTATTGTCAAATTGGTTTCCATACAACACCCAGTGCTCATCCCAACAGGTGCCCTCCTCAATGCCCATCACCCACTTTCCCCTCTCCCCCACCCCCATCAACCCTCAGTTTGTTCTCAGTATTTAAGAGTCTCCTATGGTTTGCCTCCTTCCCTCTCTGTAACTTTTTTTTCCCCCTTCCCCTCCCCCTCTGGCCGCCTGTTAATTTTCTCAGGATCCACATATGAGTGAAAACATATGGTATCTGTCTTTCTCTGACTGACTTATTTCACTTAGCATAATACTCTCCAGTTCCATCCATGTTGCTACAAATGGCCAGATCTCATTGCCAAGTAGTATTCCATTGTATATATAAACCACATCTTTATCCATTCGTAAGTTGATGGACATTTAGGCTCTTCCCATAATTTGTCTATTTTTGAAAGTGCTGCTATATACATTGGGGTGCAAGTGCCCCTACGCATCAGCACTCCTGTATCCCTTGAGTGAATCCCGAGCAGCGCTATTGTTTTAGAAATCAGAATTTCCCCATGATTATGAAAATTACTATTAGTTATTATATAAAGTAGTTTGTATTTTATATAAGCACCATCACCAAATTCATTTATTTTGTATAAGCATAAGTTCTTTCATCGAAGAGATTTTATTTATTTATTTATTTATTTATTTTCATCTAGGATATTTTAATTTTTTTAATGTTTATTATTTTTGAGAGAGAGAGAGAGAGAGACAGAGATAGAGCATGAGTGGGGAGAGGGCAGAGTGAGAGGAAGACACAGAATCTGAAACAGGCTCCAGGCTCTGAGCTGTCAGCACAGAGCCTGACGTGGGGCCTGAACTCAGGCACAGTGAGATCATGACCTGAGCTGAAGTCTGACACTCAACCGACTGAGCCACCCAGGAACCTCTCATCTAGGATATTTTAAACAGCTTCTATCAATATGTAAAAAATATAAACGTGATAATTTGGCATGAATTCATCTTCTCAATGACAATATACTGGCTTAAGAAAATCCTTGTGTTTGTGGGCTTCTCATTTTGTTCAAACTATTCAGATTATGAAGGAACCAATAGTATCATCTCTCTATGCTACAGGGTCAACACTTTCAGATGGCCTTGAAGCTTCCTTAAACGTTTAGAAATCCCTCCTGAAGCTCATCACTGTGCTTCTCTTTCTCTGGTTGTGCAAACTAAAAATCAAATCAGTGATAGTAAAATCACTCTGCTCTCTTCCATCTTCATGCTCTTTCTTTCCCTTCTTCCTTTCTCTCTCCCTCTCTCTCTCTCTCTCTTTCTCTTTACCTATAAGTATTCATTCCAAGGAATAGTTCAGGAGCAAGAAGATCTCCCTGCTACCTGCCTCAGAACAGAACATTCTACTCATTCAATCCACCAGCTGCCTTCTTTTCTTCCCTGAGTACTTAATGCTCCATCTTCATCAAGGGACTCTACTGGTTTCCTAAATGACCTCTTCCCCATAATTAATTTAAATAATTTTTTTTAAAAGTCCTTCTAAAGTCTTTCTGTCATCTAATTCGTAGTTTGTCCTGTCCCACCTAGTCTGGATATCTTTTTGTTCTCTTAATTTGAGCAATCAGTCCTTATTTTGAAAGATGTCTTTTTGTCCTAAAGTAACAATTCAACTCTACCAATTAGCCACACAAGGAATTTTTTGAACACTTGCTATTTTAGTACCTTGGCACACATTTTTCTTCAGCTTCTCAAAACGTGTTTATTTAGTTGTTTTTTTTTTTAATAGTATCAAGGCATCTTGTGAGCTATTAACTCTTAAAGTTACACCTTGCGAGTTTTTCAAATGTTTTGCACTTGATATCCTCCTTTCATGTGCTCTTGACTCATCTATTCCAACATGGTTGGAGCACGGGGCTGTGATCAAATGGGGAAAGTGAAAGTCAGGTTGGAGAAGTTCAGGGCTGCCATAAACAGTGTTTGCCTTGTGCCCAGCACAGTAGTACAGGCCAAGGGAGAGAAGAGAGCTGGAATCCAGCCAGTGCTCTGCTCACCAAGTGCTCTGCTCAGCATGAGGCTGTGTTCCTCTGAGGAAGGGGTGCTTTGTCAATTCACAAAAAAGTGTTGCATGGGCTGGTGGTGGCCCAGTGGAAAATCATGTATAGGAGTTTTGATTTTATAGTAATGCATTGAGAAACCACTAAAAGGGAATAAAATAATCCAGTTTATAGTTTGTAAAGAACACCCTGCTGTGTGTGTCATAGATTGGAGAGAGGCAGGAGTGGCAGTAAGGAAGCCAGCGAAGAGGTGATAGTGGCCAGAACTAGAGCGTCGGGAGTGGAAATGAAAAGAAATGAATGAATTCAAGGCATCTTTTGGAGGTGAATAGGACTTGGTGTCGAGTTAGGTGTGAAAGATAAAAATGATGCCCCAGTTACTGACCTGAATAACTAGATGGATTGTGGTTACTGTGTTCGGACTGGGGAAGAAACGGGGGCAGGGGGAGACAGTTGTATTAAGGTTTCTGCTTCAGATGGCCCTTTGTAGCAACATGGATGGAACTGGAGAGTGTGATGCTAAGTGAAATAAGCCATACAGAGAAAGACAGATACCATATGGTTTCACTCTTATGTGGATCCTGAGAAACTTAACAGAAACCCATGGGGGAGGGGAAGGAAAATTAAAAGGTTAGAGTGGGAGAGAGCCAAAGCATAAGAGACTGTTGAGAACTGAAAGCAAACTGAGGGTTGATGGGGGGTGGGAGGGAGGAGAGGGTGGGTGATGGGTATTGAAGAGGGCATCTTTTGGGATGAGCACTGGGTGTTGTATGGAAACCAATTTGAGAATAAATTTCATATATTAAAAAAAAAGGTTTCTGCTTCAGTTTATTTGAGACACCTCTGGTATATCTCATTGAGATATTGGCTAGCAGGAGGCAGGTGGATGTAAGTACCTGGAATTCAGAAAAACATCTGTTCTTTTTTTGAGAGACTCTGAGGCTTTCCTTGTCTTTAGAAGTGTGAACACAACACAAATGAGCAATTCTATCACGTTCCTAAATGATCCTTAGCATCCTTTTCCCCAAACAACCCACAAACTTACTTTGAGAGAACCAGAATAACTCCTTGCATTGAGTATAAACATAATTGTTTTTCCTTAAAGGAAATGCTCAGCCCTCTAACCAGTGCAATAAACTCTACTGACCCCACACTGGGGCTAGTCTTCTATCTGCATTTTATTTAATTTAAAGGACTTTCTGTTAACTTTCTTAGCAAATTTTCTGTTTCCTGGTACCCGGGTTTCAGTATTTCCCTGAGAAATTCATGTTGACCTCTGTCTTCCTTGTATAGTGGTCTGAATCACAGAGTCACAGTAAGTCAGATATGACAGTTTTTCTCCCAAGTTATCTGGCATTTACTCCTTCTAAGAATTTATAATCGTGGCACAATGTAAATCTAGAGCCAGCCTGTCACTGGGATTCTCTAATCTCACTAGATGAGCGACTAGGCCAGAATGACTCCAGTACTCATAGATTTGTTCTCTCTCTTGCTCCAGTAGGCAGAGCCAAAACCAATGGTTAAAAACCACAGGGAGAGAGATGTTGGCTCAACTAAAGGAAAAACTGCCTAATGCTTAGTGCTGTCTGAAAATGGAAATGCTTGCTGGGAAGGAGTGAGTTATGGTTTCTAGGGGTGTTGAGGCACAGAGCAGACAATGGTTAGTGTAGATTCTGTGATAGAGATTGAAGGGTCACAGCACAGGAGTAATCTTCACTGACTATTTAATCCCTGCTCATGCTAGAACTTTACACAGATGTTTTGTCCCATTTAATCTTCATAATGATTCCCAAGGGAACTGGTTGTAACTCCACCAGGAGAGGTTACAGTCACAATTTAAGATTATACAGCTAGAAAGTGGCAGAGCCAAGGGTTTAGAGCCAGGATTTAAACTCAGTTCCATCTGAATCCAAAACCCTTGCTGATTCTTTCCACAATTCATGGAAGCTTGAGAAATGGAACCAGGGGATTTCTACGGTCCCTTCCAGTGCTATGGTTCTATCTGGGTCCAATATGGATACAGTCATCACTGACTTGACTGTGTTTTACCTTAATCATCCTTCTGGCCTCAGTCACATTAAAATGATAATCTGTGACTACAGAACTTTCTGGGGTCTCATCAAGAAAAGATCATTTAAAAACTCAACATTTCTATTTTATATCTCCTCTGAGCTTTCAGTAGACCTCAGTCTGAAGGGCTCAAAATCTTTTTATTTTTTTCTTATAGGGTTTCTGGCAAGGACTGGGTTTATAATACAAAGGTACAGAACACTAAGCTTTAGTATTCCTGAAAACTGTCAGAATATATTGTTTTAACTTCTCTACTCATTTTAAAAGCTTAGAAGGTCTTAGAAGATCTTGAAATATTTGACCCAAGGTCATTTTTTTTTCTGGGTTAAGTTCTGAGTCAGATTCTTTTTAAATATTAGAATTAAAAAATTCAATTAATGAAACAATTAATATTAGAATTAAAAATTGTTTAATTAAAGTCTGAAAATAAGCTTAATTTCCTTTTCTTAAGGTCAAATGGTTTTAAATGTGTGGTAAATACTATTTTCTAGATTGAAGCTGAACTTGCCAAGGAAAGAGCCCAGCATTTAGTTGAGTTTGAGGAGCAAGCTCTGCTTTTTAAAGCAGAAGCTAAACTGGAACTTGATATTGAAAAGGGAAAACATCAAGAAATAATCTGTAAATATAAGAAAGAACAAGAGGAACTAAAAATGAAGGTCTGTCATTATGATGTTCATTATTATCTAATGGGTTTCAAACTATAGATGTTGGTTATTTCCTTGTAAGAACACTGTACAATATTTATAACTCAAGTAGCTTTCCTCATAGTCACTGTGCCTTGGTTTTAGCTACATGGGTAGAATGGTTTGGCTATTTTCCAGAATAAGTAGCTGAAATAAATCATATCAGCATACAATAAAATTATTTTTTAGGCAGCATAAATTTATAACTAATAATTAGCATGACTAAATATTCCAACACTTCAAATATCCAACATTAAATGATAAGGAGATGTTTTACGTAATTAATATTTTCCCAACAACTAAAGCCTATCTCCTTTAATTGCAAATATTTTCAATTCTAGACATTTTGAATGAAGGGAAATATTTAAAAATGTAATCTACCTCCATAATTTCTGAAACAGTGTGTGCTAAACATAATTTTTTTGAAGATTTTATTTTTAAGTAACCTCTACACCTAGTGTGGTGCTTGAACTCATAATCTCACATCAAGAGTAGCATCTTTTCTGACTGAGCCAGCCAGGTGCCCCCTAAACATAATTTAAGGTTTTGTTAAGGTTGTCCTGTTATTATAAGACCTGAGCACCATATATATATATATACATGTGTTTGTGTATATACGTATGTGTTCGTGTGTATGTATATGTGTGTGTATATTAACCAAGACCCAGTGGGGAACCCATACTTTGAATAAACTCATTAACAGTCTGTGTAAATTAGGCATCAAATGAGACTTAATGGCCTCTACTTCAGTGAACAGGAGATATGGTACAGCCTTTTCAAGAGCGCTGTGAACAATAGGCAGGGCCAGCTACGTGAGTATATGGCAAGTCCAGTGTCACAGGGCCCACACTCAGAAATGCCTCATACCTCTTGGGTTTAATGCTCTCCAAATGTTGTCTTGAAATTCTTAATAACTTTATCTTTGAATTTGTGTTTTGTAAGTGAAATCCTGTTGGGACAATGGTGCACTTGAGAGATTCCAAGCTGATAGCTGAAAGCTTAGAATCTCAGCTCACCCAAGTTTCTACCTCTCCTATACTAGTTTTCTTCCAGAAGAAGCCTATTAAGGCAGGCCCCAACTTGCCAAGAGTTATAGTTTTTTAAAAGAAGTCATAAATCCAGATTTTCTAATTGAATTCTCTTGATTTGTAAATGCTGACTCCTGTTTTGAAAAAATCAAAACATATTTGTGGCTTTGTGAGTCTCCTGTCCCAAAGATAACCTGCTCTTTTTCAGTGTCAGCTCTCCTTTGGATGATGGAAACGACTGCTCAGACCTAGCAATGATCCTCTTCCTTCCTGGATTAATTGAATATAATGGAATATTAATTTAATTTTTCAAGTTACTAAGTGTGAATAGATTTCTTGCAAAAGTTATTCTTAATGTAAATTTAACATTTGAAACAAATTTTGGATGCATTACTCGTAAATAATAGTTCACAGAATCCTTGGAACTTTGGTCTATGAATGTTTTCCAGATTCTTCATGGACTGGTTTCTTGTTGTACTAATATTTATAATGTGACAATATCTGTAGCACAAATAATAAGGATATGTTTCATCAGAAGCAACTTTGCTCTTCCTGGTTTGTTTTCTGTTCTTTGTTTTTTAAGGAGAAAGAAAACAAGCAGTCTTTTCCCTTCTAAAGACTTTCATGACTCTAAGGAAAAGCTCCTCATCTTCTCTCTTTATCTCTCATTCTCTCATCTCTTTATCTAGAAGTACCACCTGAGAGATAGTATATTTGCAAAGTATTCTGGTATTCTCTAGAACTGTACAATCTAGTATGTTAGCCATATGTGGCTACTTAAATTTCAAGTAATTAAAATTTAAATTTAAAGTTCAGTTCCTCAACCACATTAGCCACATTCTAAATGCTCACTAGCCAGTACTGGCAAGCCAGAGCCTTTTTGTTGGCCTCTCTTCCCAACTCAGCAATTGGTTATGTCACCTTGATACCTTGGAATTGGCCGTGGTGAGAGTATTTACACCCAGTCCACACGGAGTCTACATGGAGACTAGATACAAATCTGGCTTTTTGTGTGTGTGTGCATCAGTTGCTAAACATTTACTGACATACTACTGTCAGTAGGTACAGGTGGCTAGTGGCTACCATATTGGACATCACAGACTATTTCTGTCATCACAGAGAGTTCTACTGGGCAGTGCTGATCTAGAGGTATAGTACCTGAGGGCATCTCCAGTCATCATATATAAGAAAGAAAAAATATATGTCAAAACAAAACTTACTATAATTATAGCATGAATAGAATATAACTGTGGTGCTCCTCTGTGTGCATCCCCAAACATCAGGCATTTCTAGGTCCCAAAGCCACCCCACACTGAATCCAGACAGGTACGTGGATCAAGACTTGAGCTGTCCTTGGTAGCTCAATCCGGACACAAAGATTTATATATTTCCAAGGATGCCCAAGTGATTAATGCAATTCCATTTAAGGTGGTAAAAATAGGTTTTAGTCTTAACTTTTAAAAAGAAAATTTTGGAGGCCTACATAGTGTCATAGGATTTGTTTTCATTTGATAAGAAGAGCACACTGATTGTTTAGAATAAACCTCCTAAAGCCATAAGGACTCTTTGGTTGCCTAGAGATATTGCCTACAAACTAATACAAGATTTATCTTACAGATATCTGATTTAATCGCAAGTGCTACTAGAGATCTAAAGCTGGAAGTGGCCACCCTTGAAGAAAAACTCCATGAATCTTGTATCCGACATACTGAAGATTCTGAATCAAAGGAGAAAGAAATTGAAAACCTTAAAAATTTGGTTGCAGAATTTGAAGCCCGCCTGAAGAAAGAAACTGACAGTAACGATTCCATTTCAGAGAACTTGAGGAAGGAAATGAAGCTGAAGTCAGATGAGCTAGATAGAGTAATGCTGGCACAAACACAACTGATGCAGCAGTTTAACCAGTCCCAGGAACAGGTAGGAAGCAGACGATGGTGCCGCTGTGATTAGTGAAAGAGCACACACTCTTTCAAAAAGTAAACAAACAAACAAACATCAAAGGTAGCTTGGTGTCATGCAGTTGAGGACTGTTAGTCAGGAACCTGGAATTACATCCTGGCTGTGTCCTTAACTAGGCAGTCACTTAACCTCTCTTCACCTGGCTTCCTTTTCTGTAAAATGAAATTCACTGAACTACAAGATCTCTATGGTTTCCTCAGCACCCAGTTCTACTGTGTTGCAAAAACCATTTAAAACTTCTAAGACTAGAAATCTTTGCGTATTTATGTCTTACTGGTTTTGACATTCAGTCTTTGCCAAAGAAACTTTTAGAGCACTTGCTGCTTACGTTCAAAAAATAATTTGGACAATATATTCTGAAAGTAATTTCTCTTTAGGGCTTTATCTTTCTGTCAACCTAAACTATAGCATAATGTACATGAGTTGGTCTTCTTTCTTATGTATGCATGATTATTTCAGCAATATTTTTGTTTAAACTGGAATAGAATTATTTTGACTTGAAATTGTTTTCTAATGAATTCTTATTTCAGAACTGCAAAGCAGTTGAGGTCACACAGCATGGCAGAGCCAAGATTCTATTTGAATCTCCATGATATGATGTTTCCTGTTTCAGGAAACCTGAGTTCTAGTGATTCTGCTTCTAAGTTTCAAAGTGACCCTCAGGCTTAGCACTCAACATTGCCAGGCTTCATTTCCTTCCTTCCCTCCTTCGTTCGTTCTTTCTTTTTCTTTCTTTCTTTCTTTCTTTCTTTCTTTCTTTCTTTCTTTCTTTCTTTCTTTCTTTCTTTTGCTCTTTCTTTCTTTCTTTCTTTCGCTCTTTCTTTCTTTCTTTCAAAATACCAATAAACATGCTACTTGCTTCTCCAGATGTTTAGGGAGTCAGCTGATTGAGCATCTCCTGCCAACACACAATAGCATAGCCTCCCTCATCAAGGTTGCTGCTTCCACCAGTCCTGGCATGAGTGGGAAAGGACAGCACACATGGACTTGGTTCTGCTGGAGAAACCCAAAGGAGAGAGGCGATACAGAGTTGCTTCAAATGAGACAGCAGTGTTGAAGTTCTAAAGGAGGGTCAACTGGTTAAAGGAAAGAGAGATCAAGGCAGTTAGACTGGCAGGTTTTCTAACTCTTAAATATCCAAAGACATGGCAATATGGAAACTGAGGAGTAACCTATACACTAGGACATGTAAAAAAAATAGAAGTGTTGAATCCAGGGGCCAGGTGCTAGGCCCTATATATGCAATTAGGAACAAGACTGACAGCTGCCATTACCTGCTCTCAAAGAAGAATTTAAAGAAAATCTTTTTTTTTTCAATATATGAAGTTTATTGTCAAATTGGTTTCCATACAACACCCAGTGCTCATCCCAAAAGGTGCCCTCCTCAATACCCATCATCCACCCTCCCCTCCCTCCCTCTCCCCATCAACCCTCAGTTTGTTCTCAGTTTTTAACAGTCTCTTATGCTTTGGCTCTCTTCCACTCTAA